TATATATATATATGTGGTACTTTTTGTAATAAATTTGAATGAAATGTGTTACTTAAATATCTAAACAGTTTAAAAATTCAAATGTTTAAATTAATTAATAAATAATTTATAGATCTCTATTTTATTTAAATATATAATTTTATTTAAAATAATTTTAAATATAGCAAAATTTATTTAGAAAATCGTGTCGATCCTACAAGTTCAACCGACTGGTGTTGACGGATTCAATAGCAAATATTTTATTCAAGTGAACTAGACTGATTATAAACTGGTTATCGGCCCATTAGGGATTGTGTCCAACACGGTTCAATTTTAAAACGATGGGTAAATCTTGATTAATTTATTTTTATATTTAATTTATAACACAAACTTAATATTATTTTCTCGTGCATTGCACGGGCCACACACTAGTTTAAGTTAATAATCACCAAACAAAAAAAAATTGAATGAGTAAATAATGCAATGATGTTCCTCTTTCTCTCGTTCCCAAATACTCTCGCACCCTAGCCTCTCTAATCTCGTCGGTTGAAACTCCCTCGCCAAAAAGTTGGGCCCGACGGGGGAAGGCCTCCGTCACTCGTCCATGGCGGTGCAGCCCTCATCTCAATTGCTGCAGCTTGGTTCTGTTTTGTGCGCTGGCCAATTGCGACGCTTCTCTTTGCTGGTTGGTCGCCGGAGTCCAGGTGTCGTCGGTGATGGTCGGGGTGCAATGTTGGTTCATGGACGAGGTTGGGGTAGCTGCACGCGACTATGACTGGGACGCCGCTTATTCTCCTTGCTTGCCTTTCTTTCCGCAGGTCAGGACCGCGCCTTTTCGCCTGCGAAGCGGCGATTGGCAGGGGCCTCATCTTGTTCGACATATGGTTGTGTCAATTGGAGGTTTGCCCTTGTTTCTACTGCTTTTGTCTCGGTTTTTATTTTGTCCGTGATCGGAGGGACCTTTCGGTTCTTCCTTGGTCGTTGTTACTGTTGGGATCGGTGTTGCTTTCGGTTTAAGCTCGATTGCTTAGTTGTGTTCAGTCGCTTCGGGCTGGGATGAATGGTTGCGGTTTCAGGCGGGCTGACTCAGTGAAGCCGAGTTGTGTAGGCTTCTTCACATGATTGGAGTGCGGGCCAGCTCTTAAGTTGGTTCAGGGGCGTAGGTTACCCGTCTTGCTAGGCCTTAAGCAGTGGCGGGCGGTTGTTTCCGTGCTAGGGAGCTGTCGTTTGAGCTGGTTTGTCTGCCGCCAATCTTGATGTATCTGGAGGGGAGGCTGTGCCCCCTTTATGTTTTGTTTTCTTGTTTGGTAGGTCTGTGTTTCTGTTATTATTTTTTTCTAGAATTGTGGTTTTGGTCTGGCCGTTTGGCCTGTGTGAACTCCAGTGTCACCTTATTATTTCATTGAGATCCGACACTCGGGTATTACCCTATTGGGGTCCTTTTTAGTTGTTTTAGTTGGTTAGTTTTAGTTTCGAGCTTTATTCTAGCGTTGCTAGTCGAGATTCTAGGCGGTCTTCTGACTTGTCCTCCCACTTCTTCAGTTGTTGGTTGTTGTGTATTCGCACATTTGTGCATTTTGATTTATAATATAATCTATCGTTTTGGAAAAAAAATAATGCAATGATTTGAACTTATACATTTGTACAAGTTATTATTATTTATTATTATCTTATACATTTATAAAATTGTGGTAGATGGTTGATCATTTATATTTTTTTAACAAAAAATAATAATTATATCATAAAAATGACTTACTTTTATTTGCATTATTTTATGAAATGTGACATTTTGAAAACTAACAAGCATGCTAATTTGAGAATTCTTGCTCTAAGTAGCTATAAAAAATATTCAAAGTAATATTATCCACTTATCATGATGCTCATTAATCAATACTCCACAAATAGTATGTAAAAAAAATGAATTTATGGATTTTTACTTAAGTAAATACCTTGTATGGTTTATCTTTTATTTTTCCACCACATATAAAATTTCATCATCACCTATAAATTGCTATACACTTTGTAAAGACCCATCTATATCAATGCACAGAAAAAGGTATCAAACCAAAGCACATAGGTACAACCATCTTCTGTGCATAACTACATATATAAAGAAAATGACCTAATCAAAGATTCAAGGTCCCCACGCTCAATTAATCATTTCAATTGCCCAAATCTACAAGGCCGATTCTCAGCCCAACTCCTAATGGGCCCAGCCCACTAACAGAAGAAAGATATGTTATCATCATGAATTGACAAGTAAAATTGCTTGATTTTGCCCGCGAGGTTCAAGATAGAGATGTAAACGAGTCGAGTCGAGTCGAGACGCGAGCTTGATTACTGGTTCATTCAGTTCACAAGTTGAGCTCGACTCAGCACGTTATAGGTTAAACGCTGGAGCTCAGCTCATTTATCAATGTTAACGAGTCGAGTTCGAGACTTGACGAGTGAGCTGTAGAAAAATATGTAAAAATCTTTATTTTCGTGTCTTAACAAGCTAAATCCGAGCACAACTATAAATCATGAAACTGAAGTTATTAAGAGAGGTGCATTCAATTAATATTTTAATCGAAACTTCTGAGACTTTTTAAAATTTTAAGATTTATGAGGAATTCAATTATAATTTTAGTTTGTAGGTGAGATTGGAGTGAAATTTAGTATACAACTTTTGTTTTGCAATCACCACAAATATTAAAAGTCTTAATAGATCATAGTCTCAAATAAGTCTAAATAGAGTACACTAAGATTTCTAATGTCTTTAAAAATTCCAAACGAATACACGTCCCACAATGGGTTTTAACTTTTAATTATCCCATTTAAAAAATTAATTTCAAAATCTGATAATTGCATCTTTGTTTCATATTGATCCACTCATATTATACATCTTTAATCACACTATATAAAGTAACTTGTACCAGTTAAGAGAAAATGATTGGATCTCATTGCCCACGTACATAATGGTCGTTTAGTTATGCTGACAACCAATAAGAGATTAATTAGGTGCCGAATTTAATTTTATCTGTATTAGTATATTCAATTGTGAGTTGTCCTACATCGTTTATATAAGGAAAATAAACCTAATTTATAGGTGTAGTAGGCTACTCCTCTTTCCACTAATTGGTTTTGGATGATACCTCATTTGGGCTTCACCTGAGCCTTTCCTGCGCTTCATCTGTGTGGGACCGCACTTGTTTTTTCTCCAGTTTCTCGTTTTTTCTCCCGTTTCTTACATGGTATCAGAACCTGTATTCCCCCTGTTTTTTACATGGTATCAAAATCAGTTCTATTGGGACCGTGCAATGACGTACCAATTTTCTCGGCTCAGTTGGGCTTGGCTCCCGACTCTATATATGAGTTTGGGCTTCTTGAATTGTACCACATCATTTATATAGGGAAAATAAGCCTAATTTATAGGTATAGTGAGCTACTCCTCATTCCACCAATTGGTTTTGGGATGAGATGAAACCTCACTTGTACTTCATCTGGGCTTTCTCTGTCATGGTGCGCTTCATTGTGTGTGACCGCACTCGTTTTTCTCTCGTTTCTTACAAATAAAAAATATCTTATTTACTACTTTATTTTTATTTATTTTTTTCTTTTTTTTGATCAAATAACAATGTTAATACTTAATATTCTACCTTACATCTAAAGCTTTGGATACTAAACTAATTAAAAACAAATGAAGATCTTGAATGAAAATAAGGGTTTGAATTGATAAGCCTCAACTCTCAATATGGAGAGATGAAGATAATTTGCCCACTTGCTTATCAAATATGAAAATGTCCCTTTCTTTTATCCCTACATAGTCATATATAATTTAATTTTCATGCATTTGCCATATATAACAGCTATGTTTTGTCTTCATTTGTAACATGCATAGGAAAATATAATAGTAGTAAAAAACATAGGCCACTGAGTTTTAAAATAGCATTTGAGATTTTTTATGTTTGAGTTTATTGGCATTTTTGAGTTAGGACAAATATACCTTGTTACCCACCACATGTATAGTACTTAAAAGTGTGAATCTCATCTCACATATTAAAAATGTTGAGGACAGATGAAAATTATTTTAAAAGATAGAACTCTTGAACATGTGTGGGAGAGAACTAAACCTTATCTAAAATTGTTGAATGAGTTGCTTGTAAGGTCGACTTCGCCCAAACTTATATATATAAAACTCCTTTAGTTAACGAGTCAAACTGAGTTCATCTCATTGAGACTGGATAAATAAGGGCTTTTTATGTGTCTTTATCTTATCTCGACTCGTTAAAGCACAACTTTATTTTATTGATATTGATAAACTAGCTGAACGCTAATACATTTAGTACACACGAGTTTGGTTTGATGAATACGTTAAATCGAGCCTAGTATTCGAAGTTGGAAAGTTTGACGCAATAACATGTGTCACAATTTGGTAATTTTACCATAACATTACTTTTAAAATCAACAACTATTAAATTAAAATCATATTTTGTCATCCCATGTCAACGTATTATGTTATTCTATAAATAGCTTAATTCTAAAAACTAAAGCCACCTTGGTTGAAAATTCCAAAACGGACAAAACACAACAATCTCTAATTTACTTTCTACCAGCTCATCATTGATTGCATGGGTCTGTATTTTTATTTTTTATTTTTATTTTTCATCATAATCCCCCTCTATATTAATTCAGAACGCGTTGAGTCTACGTGGCTGCTTCTAGTGTTTCGAAATCATATGTGGCAAAATTACATACTTCGTTATTAGACTTGAGTAAATTTTAATTTAATTCCAAACTAAAAATAATTAGGTTCAGATTATTATAATATATTGATTATTTATGGTCATGTTACATGTATTAATTGCATTTTAATATCATTCTTTATTATAACTATTGAATTGTATATATATTTTAAAAGTTAATAACTTTTACATTTTTATCAGTTTTACATATGTAATATATCAAATTAATCTTCTTTTGATGAGCTTCGATTTAGCATCCATATTGTATGTATAAAAAAAATAATTTATATTTATATTTATAATAATAATAAAATTATTTTTAATATTAATTAGAAAATAAAATTATTTATCAACTAATATATTTATATTTCAAGTAGTTTTATGATATAAGTTATAAATACTAATATAATATAACACATGTAAGTCATAAGTAACACATATCATTCTAAAATATATAGTAATATATTTTTTTATAAAAAAGTAAAATAAATTTAAATAGTTTTCTATTAATTTTTAAATTTAAAAATATTTTTTTAACAAGCACCCGTGTAATACACGGGTATTGTACTAGTTAATATATAAAAGAGAAGGGGATTCTAACATAAATTCCTACCTCTATTTTGACCACAACATGAATTAGAACAGGATTAATAATGGACTAGCACATATACAAATCATAACTTAGATTTCTCATTCGTATTATATATAAATTATAAATATATACTTACCTTTATAATAAAAATAAATTTATATATTAATATTAATTGAAAACATAAAATAAAAACTTCTCATATATACACTGGTGTAATTTGAAGTAGCCAACGTAAATTATGTTA